AAATGAGTAAGTAAATAACTCCCTAATTCCCACGGTATTCGGGAGCTATCTAACAAAAGGCTGAAAGACCTAAATTGGTCTTTCAGACAAATTTACTAATACTAAGTAAAAATTACTTAGTATTAGTAAATTCTGCCCCTACTCGCTATACCACGAGTATGGGCATGTCTAGTAAAATACTGTGCTAAGTGTAATTCACACAGAGTGTAATTCAAAAAGCCGAATGAACGAACAAATGAAAGGCTCATGGAAGAATTTCGTTAAACGGCCATTCGTTTGTTTGTTCATTAGTTTGTATAGACATGTGTTATTCAGTATTCGTAAGAATGGCCAAAAATGTATATTTTCATACGAAAATCCATTAGTACGAATACGAAAGCCCAAGATTAGTAAACAGTGAGCAACCTGTGACAAAAGCTCTCCCTTCCCCTTATTCTGACTTAGGGCCCCCACTCTCCGCTCAGGGGTGGGAGCCAGGGGGGGAGGAGAAAATGTCCCCCCCCCTATATTGGTGTTTAGGGCTCCCACCCACCACTCAGGGGTGGGGGCCGGGGGGAGGACAATAGGTGTCCCTTCCTTATTCTACTTTAGGGCCCCTACTTGCCGCTCATGGCACATGTGGGGGCTCGGGAGGGGGGGACACTTTTTTTTTTTTTGGGGGGTCGGTGGTTTTAACAGTAAGCAGCTGTTTACTAGACATGCCCCTACTCGCAGTATAGCAAATAGGGGCAGAATTTACTAATACTAAGTAATCTTTGCATAGTATTAGTAAATTTGACTGAAAGACCAGTTTAGGTCTTTCAGCCTTTTGGTAGATAGATCCCTAATACCGTGGGAATTAGGGAGTTATCTACTAAGCAGCTGCAAGAGAACATCCGAAGTCCCAGAGTGCCGAAGTCCCGAATTTTGGAATACCGAACCGAATATTTTCCCCATGCACATCTCTTCTTGGAACTATTTAGTTCTAGAGAAGTATCAAAGCCTATTTTGTGCCTGCCCAAACATGGCAAAGGCTTAAATAGAGTTGAGAAACTCCACACACAACTCGAATGAGGTAGACGAAAATGAAAGGGAGACCACTCCAAACTTCTCTCATGTTTGTACCGGTTAAACTGATCTATTCACCTGAAAGTTTTTGACACAAACATTTCTAATTTTTGTATATAGAAAATGAATATATTTTGTGAAGTAATATTACACCATGGCAGTCTTTCCTCTTAACCTTTCACACCCTGCCCCTCACTGACTTAAAATGTTTTGATATATTGAATATGCAACTTTTTGCAAAATCTATTTGGTGTCTGAGACAGATTCCTTGATTGGGTTTCTCTGCTGTTATGACGCTTGGGAAGGACAAGGTGATAAATGGAGAAGACCTGTTTGGAAACCTTGTCAAGTGAAAGTTGTGTTTGATGACAATCCAGTAAGATGCCCAAACAAAGCATACTAAATAGGTGAGTTGAGCAAATAACTACCACTCCTGTGAGATTACGCCTCTTCAACTGATAATCTGGGAGGGGGTGTACAATAACTCTCTCTAATGCCTACAACTAATCTACACCGCCTTCCATTAAAAAAAAAAAAAAAAAACTAGATAAGAAGTTGTTTTGGTCTATAGATCATGCTCCTCCTCTCTAATAAATTATATAAGTGGATTTAGTGTATAGATCATGCTCCTCCCCTTCTAATAAATTGTATAAGAAGTGGTTTTGGTTTATAGATCGTACCCCTGCTGTTTTACTACTCAATTATCTGCTATTTAGAGTTGGAGTTATATCACTTTGTTTAAGCAGCCCTTGCCTCACCTTTCCTGGCTGAGACTCACACAAGCTCTCTACACACTCTGAAAAGGAGTCTATATACATTTTAACTTCCCTTATTGCACTGTGTGTGGGGGTAGGGGTACTGTGTGGGGGTAGGGGTGCTGTGTGGGGGGTAGGGGTACTGTGTGTGCAGAGGGTAGGGGTACTGTGTGTGTGAGTAGCGGTACTGTGTGGGGGTAGGGGTGCTGTGTGGGGGGTAGGGGTACTGTGTGTGGGGGGGGTATGATCTATACACCAAAACTGCTTCATTAAACTAACTGTTTTGGTGCATAAAGTGTCTTAATGTAAACCTGTTTCCAAAAGCAGTTATCGAAAGGCAGGAGAGTGTGGATCCCTATTTTTATCTTTTTTTCTGAAGTAGAGGTGGTTATTATTATTATGATATTTATAGAGCGCCATCAAATTCCACAGCGCTTTACAATGGGTGGATGAACAGACATGTAGTTGTAACCAGACAAGTTGGACACACAGGAACAGAGGGGTTGAGGGCCCTGCTCAATGAGCTTACATGCTAGAGGGAATGGGGTAAAATGACACAAAAAGGTAAGGCTTGTATTAGACTAGTGACAGTTGCAGAAGAGGAATCAGTGAGGAGCTATTAACAGTTTAATTGATATGCTTTTATGAAGAAGTGGGTTTTTAACGATTTTTTGAAAGAGTGGAGACTGGGTCATCTAACGGAGGAGGGAAGCAAGTTCCACAGGAACGGTGCAGCCCTCGAGAAATCTTGAAGGCGAGCATCAGAGGTGGGAGTACGGACAGAAGATAGACGTAAGTCTTCAGCAGATCGTAAGGGCCTAGACGGGACATACTTGTGTATAAGGGAGGATAGATAGGTGGGAGCAGCATTATGTAGAGATTTGAAAGCAAGAACCAGAATTTTAAATTGAGCTCCATATTTTATAGGAAGCCAATGTAGGGACTGACAGAAGGGTGAGGCATGGGAAGTGCGGGCGGACAGGAAGATGAGCCTCGTCGCCGCATTCATTATGGACTGTAACGGCGCAAGTTGGGAGCACGTAAGACCACTGAGAAGCGGATTACAGTAGTCAAGGCGAGAAAGGACAGTGGAATGGACCAACACCTTAGTCGCATCTGGCATTAAGTAGGGGCAGATGCACGCAATGTTTTTGAGATTGAAATGACAGGATTTAGCAATAGATTGAAAATGAGGCTTGAAGGACAGGTCGGAGTTAAAGAGAACACCTAGGCAGCGAGCCTGCGTGGTGGAGCTGATGGTAGCACCATTGACTTGGAGGGAGGGAGACACAGGAGTAACAACACTTGAGGGAGGAAAGACCAGAATTTCAGTTTTGGTCCAGTTTAGTTTAAGGAAGTAGGCAGCCATCCAGTTAGAAAAAGCAAAGAGGCAGTCAGAGACACTAGTCAAGAGGGACGGGGAGAGATCAGGAAGATTTGCGTGTCATCTGCATAGAAATGATATTGGAAGCCAAAGGAGCTAATGAGTTTACCAAGGGAGGCAGTATAGATGGAGAACAGTAGGGGACCAAGGACTGAACCTTGGGGGACACCAACAGAGAGGAGTTGGGTAGAAGAAACAGAGCCAGAGAAAGAAACACTGAAAAAGCGCTGGGAGAGGTAGGAGGAGCACCAGGAGAGAGCAATATCTTGTAGACCGATATTGCGGAGGATGAGAAGAAACTGTTGATGATCAACAGTGTCAAAAGCCGCAGACAGGTCAAGGAGAATTAGGATAGAGTAGTGACTACGAGATATTGCAGCGAGTAGATCATTGGATACTTCGGTCAGTGCCTTTTCCACAGAGTGCTTAGCGCTGAAACCAGACTGAAGCGGGTCTAGCAGAGAGTTGGACTCAAGGAAGTCTGTCAATCTCGCATACACAATTTTTTCAAGGATCTTGGATGCAAAAGGCAGTAGCGAGATAGGACGATAGTTGGATGGGGAGTTAGGGTCAAGATTGGGCTTCTTTAGAATTGGGGTTACAGTTGCATGTTTGAAGGGCAATGGAAATATACCAGAGGAGAGAAAGAGAGATTGAGAATTTTAGTGAGAGGTGGAGAAAGAGGTGGTTGAGATGTCTTGTTCAGCATGGTGATATATCCATGTAATCTTTGTTGCTGCACCTGCTAGTACATTTTGTTGTTTTTTACATTATCGTTATTTCCTGGCCATGACAGCAGTACTCCAGGGTTAGCTCCTCCCCTGAATTAGGGCTACATTTTAGCCTATGAAAGGCCACATGACCATAATACCCCAGTTCTTTTCCTGTCCACACTCCCTTGGATTTTCTCTGTGTGATATTTCATTATCCTAATTTTTCTTTTTGACATACCTGGGACTTGTTAGGTCCTTTTCCTGGGATTAGTTCAGCCTCTCTTCTCCCAGAAGCTGCAGTGTCTGGCGCCTCACCAAGGGCGACACCCTGCAGAACTCCCTGCATGCTGCAGTGGCCCTTGGGTAGCTGCTAGGAACCTTGCAATATCGGATAAATCCTTATGGGTACTGTATTTCTGCTGATAGGAACAGGTTCCAGACTTCCTGGCAGCTGAGGAAGTCTTACAGAGCCTGGCAGAGGTGAATTTCATATCTGTTAGCATTTTTGGCGCCTAGCTGTAAGTACTTCCGGGTCAGGCAGCTTTTGCCAGATGTGACCTTTTTTGTCAATTAGTACATAGCTAAAGTATAACAAAGGCTAGTGCACACCCACAACGACTTTTGACTGCCTCAGACCATGCCTATACATAAAACCGATTGTATACAAATTCAAAATAGGGCTAAAAAGTGCATACAATAAGTGAAGACATGCCATATAGCTTACTGGTTTCAAGGGTCGTATGTATGCATGGCACTCACCCGATAAGGAGGAGGGAAAGAGCAGGGCAGAGAAAGAAAAACGGGGGTAGGAGTGGTGGGTTTTCCTCTCTTTGTAAACCAACCGTCTTTGTGTGTTTAATAAGAAATTATCTTAGACAAGCATAACAAATATTTGTCTCCCCCACTGTCCATGTGATTTGTTTTCTGTATAGCTTTCCATGAGAACTCCTTGTGTTTTTCTTTCATTATATTATAGACTTTAAGTAAAGTAGAATAAAGTGTTGCCTTGCTTATATAGCTTCTAAATTATATGAATACTTGTCACCCATTTCATATGAAAATTTGTCCAGTAGTGAATATCAATACAAAAAGAGCCATACGCAAGTTAGACTGTTTGTTTTTATTATTGAAGCAGAACAAAAAAAATAAAATAAAAAAATCTCCAAATGTTCAAGCAACTTGACACGGTCCATGGAATTTGGAATGCCAATGTCTCCAATCCCTGAATGTCGAATGATCAGTCTTTTGAAGATTACTGCAACCATTACTGATACCTTGACATGTGCAATAAATCCAGGGAGGGAACAAAAGAATCTCATTATGGCATATCAAATGGAAATATGCAGGAAAGTTGTTTCTACTACTTGCAGTTGATCCAAAATACTGTCAGAGGGGAATGTCACTGTCTCCCAAAAATGAAAGCTTTATCGCTGCCCTGACCAATGTTTTTATGACACCCAATCAATGCCTCTAACAACTTGAAAATCACTTCTCCCTGCAAGGAACTATTCATTTTAAATACATAAAAAATAAATCTAAAAAAAATCAGCCTGGTATCCCATTCATTTGTTAAATTACAATTCAAAAAGTATCCTAGAGGCCACCACACCACACCATACAAAAAAAAAAAAAAAAGCAGACAGACAAAGAAAAGCACAGCAATGACGCTCACTTTGCATGGGCTCTTATTAACTAAATATACTGGGAAAAATGTACAGAGACAAACAGTTTATCAAGGCATTGCACCTTGGAAATGTTGTCTTTAACACCTCAGTAGAATGCAAGTTTTTTTAGTGGTCTCCTAGGTCAGTGTCATTTCTGGAAGAGTTCCAGGCCCACCTTTCTGAGTTTAACATTGCTGCCTGGGAAAGCCATAGCTCTCCTAACAAGGAGAATACAAGCAATAGCATAGGAGATAGTGGAAGTGCTATTTTTCATGCACATTTAGTGCAAGTGTTTTTTTTTTTTTTTTTTTTAAATCTCTCCCACTATGAACGAGTTGAACAAACAAGACCGCACATATTGCTTTTTGGAGACACTGACTACTCATTTCCTTAGATGGATAAAAATGTTAAAGCATGGGTCATATTCTAATGGTGAGAATAGGGGATTCAGGCAAAAATCTCATATTAAATTGTAAAAAAGTTCCAAAATGTCTGCCATTAATGGCAGCAAACCTGTAACATAAAACATTCGGGCAGAGTTTCTGGCCCCACATGCTGGAGTTTTTGAAACTCAGTCTCATACTCATATCCTCCTGAGGTGTAAATGGAAGACATCAACCTGGAGATGGGGCCTGCATCTCTGGCACATTAGATGGGGTTTGTCCAATAGCGTTACACCAGTTTCTTTGCTTCAAAAAAGCTCTTGAGATGCTTCATCTGCCATAATCCAATGGCCACAAGGATTAGAGTCTGGGCAATGGACCACCAGAGAACCCGCTGGTTAGTACTTTCACTGGTCTGACGGAACCGCTCCTCTCGCCACTGGCAAGACAATAAAGCATGCTTAATACATGACATAATGTTGCATACACTTATTGAAAAAGAAAGCTGTGTCTGGTTCATTATTTCAGTTCTCTGCCTGAACAATATCTACATGATGTCAAGTCTGTGATACTGTAAAAGAACACTCATCATTAACACAATTTAAATTAATTTGAGTGGTTTCAGCCTCATATTCAGGCTGTGATATCTTCCACGACTTTTGCAGCAGCATAACTAGCCTCATGCCCCCCTATTCAAAAAACAACTTCTTGACAGGAAGGTATAGAGAAAATGCAAGCTGAGCTGCTAATTTAATTGCACCCCACAGCCAATCACTGTCCTCCTGTTATTGGTATAGTATTTCAAACCTTTCTTAATGGGAAGATAACAAGAGGACACCGATTGGCTTTGGGACAGTGATGGCAGCAGCACATCTTCTCTTGAGAAAGGCTTGTGTGAGTCGAAACATTACCATTCCACTCAAATAAAGTTTGCATTTTGGACATCATGTGTGTACCGAGACACCTGATGTCTATGTTTTGGTATATTTCAAGGGACTGGTAGTCTCCGTGGTATGTGTGGCACCACAGTGTAGATCTGCTAAGGGAAGTGTGTGTTCTGTTCCAGTTTCATACTTTGAACAATTTGAATATAAAGCCAAAACACTTAAAAGGACACACCAGGCACCAACATACTTTAATATTGGGCAAGTGAGGGCATCTGGGACTTCATTTTTTACGTTATCTTTACTGTGACTTTATCTTAACTACACCTACATGTAATTTAACCAGTAATAATTCCTGTAAAATGTTAGAAATGTATCTATATAAAAAAAAACTAAACATAAAACAACTGTGGGTCAATTCGTGTATAAAATGTCCCTTAATGTGCCAGAAACAACATATGTGTGTGTAATGTACTTTTCTATATGTTCTGAAGCATGCAAGATAATTGAAAATCTCAATGTATTCTTTCAGGTAAAACACTTTGTAAGTAATCCGAATAGAATTAGAAAAGAAGGCATCTTCAAGCTGTAACTCTTTTGTTTTGTTTTGCTGGAATCAGGTTTCCTTACTCTTTGATAATTCTGTTCCTTCTGAATCTGTTCCACTTGCTCTATCAGTTGTCTGACACGAAGCTGTAATTCACTCAGTTTATCATTGGCAGCAATCTCAGCATAATCAACAGCATGCTCCCCAACCTGCAGGTCAAGGTGAACTCTCTGCAGAGAAAACAATAGTTTCAAGTGGTTTAGAACAGCCAAATGCGGTACCACAAACTGGAATATTTCCAAACAAATCTTCAGCAGTGTCATTTTAACTGATAAATAGGTCTCAAATGTAAGCTCTGTGTGTATGCAGCCATAATATCACTGGGAGAATGAAAAGAAAAAGAAGAACTACCCACAATATCAAGAACTTATCGGACAAATGGCTGGAATAGACAAAACACATTGATAAGAATACCAGGAGTGTTGCAATGTGGTGCAACTAATCTTACAGTCTGTTTGCAGCCGATAAGATACAGCAATTTGCAGGTTTCTTCCTCAGTAATAAAAAGGACTCTCTAGGCCCAAACCTACAACAACCCATCTAACAGAATTAGGTAAATAAGTAATTATGTTTTTTTGATTTTCATTGTGCCATGTGTGTTCTATTAGCGGATATACCCTATTCACTGTATGAAGTACATGCACAAAATACAGGACTATGTGGGGTTTATGTAATACACAAAACAAACATTCACATTGAAATCATTGTGATGGGCATTGCTGCTAACAGAATACTTTCAGATGGCAGTATTGATCTTTAAGAAACCCAGAATTTAATAAAATAAATCAATTATTTTTAAGAGAGAAACACTTTTTTTTTTTTTTAAGAGGTATTGATTCAGGCATGAGAAATACATGTTTTTGCTTGTATGGCTCTTGCATCTAACATGCAGTATGTTCAGAAACACTCACCAACATGCCACCAGCAAAAAGTGAAAACTTTGTAGAGTTTGAATGAAGACAGATCTGATGCTCCCCAGGAATGTGCGATGTGAAGATAAAACGCCCATCTGCCCCATATTGCCGAGAAAGGATAACCTAATCAAAATAAAGATATAAGTATTACTGTGTTCCTATGGAAAACCAGTCCTGATTTAAACCAACCACTGATTGTGAACCCCAATATTACTTTATCATTTGGATCCTTCACTTCCACAAGCATGCCAAGTCCAGGTGTTGTCGGCAGATACTCCTCTCTTTGCTTATCATAAAGCTGGGTACGATAGTTTCCTGCAGTGTTAAATATAATGATTAAAAATCACGTCAATGTTAATTAACTTCATAAAAGTTCTAGATTTCTCCCTCCCATCATTTCATAAGGTTTGGGAACCATGGCAGGTTTATACAGATGAGCAACAGATCCCTTAAAAAGGTACATGGCACAAGATATACACAGTGGTGGGTACCCTAACCCTCTCCCCCTATATATATATCTTTCTTGTTTTAATTCATTTTTTCCATGGTAACAAAATGGGCGATTGGATCCAGTGTATGACCTAGTCTACCAAGAAACTTATCGACCAGATTGAGCCAAGGAGACTCCTTGACCTATACATTCTTGTTATGTGAAGTATTGCTATACATCTCCACTGCAATATTATATACCTATGTATAAGAATTGTACTAGCTTGTCTACAGACTGCCTGTCAAAAATAAAGAAGTTTAAAAAAAAAAAAAAAAAAAAAAAAAGCATCTAGACTTCCCTGTTCATTCCATCTCAGACAGTTTCCTTCAACGTTGCAGTTATCCAAAGGGTCCATGGTAAGCCTGAATTCTCTAATTTATTCAGAGGATGTAGCGTTACCCCACGTTTTTGTACCCACTACAACTAGTCCATTTCATGATTATTATATACACAGCAATTATAAAACGGAGTGTTTATTTGTCAAAGAAACCCATCAAAAGGGCCCTAGGAAAAGACTATTGGGAATCTTGCTCCTATAAATAGATCTGTGTATCAGTTCTGGTTTTAGTGATCATTAAATGACTATAAGCAAACACTGCTTATTTTTCACTTACACTCACTTATTAATTTATCTATGCATAACCCTCCCCCCACCCGAAACATACACACTATATATAGGTGCAATTAATGACAGTGTAAAACTGTGGTGAAGCAAAGACATATAGCAGAAGTGCCAAAATGGCTTTGGTTTCTGAAGCACATGAACTCTGCAAGTGATTATATACAATTTTTAACTAAAGTGAACAGCAAATTTAAGGTCAAAATAAACTGGAAGAATAGCTGGATTAGAATGTTTTCTATTCACTTTGAATTCTTCCTTTAGTGAATAACCCTCTAAGTAAGCGTTTCCCAGTTGGTGTTCTGACTCAATTTGCCCATTGGGTGGCCCATGCACTCAGGGCCACCCAATGGGTATTATTGCTAAACAGGTGCCTGGTAAGGAGCTGCAGCCCTTTAAGACCATGACTGGGCCCATGTAGTATTGGATGCTGGGAGGAAGTGACAGCCGGTCACATTCTCCCAGATGAGTGCCACGCTCGATGGAGACGCAGAAGCAAGGAGTGAGCTGCTGCAGACTCTTCAAAGATCAGTCTCAGCAAGCAGCACTCCAAGCAAGTCACCCTCCTGCAGACAAAAGGTAACCTAACAGGAGGATGGCTGCAATCGTAACAATGGTGACGTATGCATCAGTGTCTCCGTGCGTATGTGTCAATGTGTTTATCGTGTGTATCTTTGTGTTACTATGTATGTATATCTGTGTAAGTATGTATGTGGCAGTGTATGTATCCCAGTAATCAAACACAAATATTACATACAAAAACACCCCTGAATTCCAACTCCAAATTTATATACAACACTAAAACACACCCTTCAAACACTAATACTACACACAAATGTACATCTGCATTTAAAAGCCAACACTACATCCAAACACACCAGTGCATAAAGAAAAAAAGATATATACATACACACACACACACACACACACACACCCCAACTTTACACACAAAAGCACAACTTCTAACCACAATTTGTTTACTAGAAATCAGTATATATACATTGTTTGGGGTTGGGGGGGAGATGGGTTCCACGATGTTGGTACACTATGTCAATTGGTTCCACAGGAAAAATTGGGAATCCTTGCTGTATGGTTTAAAACAAGTCTAGCTAGGATGGAAAGGATAAATATTAATATTTCATATAAACACAACTGGCTGAATGAGGACATATTCAGAGATTATTTTTGGTTATATATTTTTTATTTAGGGAGGGGACTCACACTACGATATCTGTACATGATTTCTTATGTAGTAGGACCAGTTTATCAAGCCATTAATGACATTGTGTAGCCAAATTTCAAGAGTATAAGCGCTTTACAAGTCATATTACAATTGGAGGTGTGTGTGTGTGTGTGGTGGGGGGGGCTAATCATATCACAATTGGAGGTGTGGGGGGGTCAGGTCATATTACAATAGGGGGAGAGCAAGGGGGAAATCATATCACAATTGGAGGGGAGTGGCATTGCATTTATACAATAAATGTGCATGTTTATATTACAATCATGTACTTCCTCCATATGGCAAGTATAATTACTGGAAATAATAAGTTAATAGTGTAATATTCTGCTTACTAAGGGAAATTCTCCACCAGATGTTGGACTACAACTACCATGATGCTCTGAAAGCTGTAAGACTAGCAAAGCAGCCTGGGAGTAGTATCCCATTACCAGAGAAGACATTTCTAAGACATTATAATTTCACACATACCCTCACATACTGTGCCTCACCCACCTCCCTGCCTCCCTGCCTGCCTGCCTCATGGCTTCTTCCTGTAGCTCCCTCTACCCCCTATCTCACCTATCACCATGGTCTCATCGGGGATCTCCTCTATGAAGCATTTCTTTTCTGTCTCCCCGATGTGGAAATAGAGAGCGGCCGCAGGACTGAGCGCCGCACAGAGGAGCAGGACTAACCAGGCAGCCGCCATCTTCACCCACTACAGGAAGCTGACAGGAACCCAGCCGAATCCCACCGTCTGCCACGTCCTCCGAGGCAGCCAATCAGCTGCGAGAGCAGAGTCAGTCGGGAAATGTAGTTTATAGAACTGGAATTCTACTGAGTGTAAGAGCGCCACCATGCGGCAGCTCAAGGAATGAAAGGCAGAATTGTAAAGGTCTGGGTGGCCAAGAGGTGACTGATTCTTTTAAATTACAGGATTATTTTTTTTAATACATCTCTAGGGTTATTTACTAAAATAATTATTCACTAAACTCCAATATGTAGTAAGCCGGATTCTGAATAGCAAAGTGTATTCTAAAATAACAGCTTTCAGTATAGCTGAGTTATATATATATATATTTTTTTTTTACCTATTGTAGCCTATTTTTTTAAACTTGAATTTCAGTTCACGGTTATTTGGAGTTTAGTGAATACATTTTCAGTATGATGAGAATTTTATAACATGACAGGAGGCTTCGTATTTGCTTAGTCTCTCCAGGACCGTCTTTAATTTAGATTGGACCCTGGGCGAGCATTTACTTGGGCCCCCTGACTACGTCTAGATACACACAAATACACTACCTGACACACATGCAGATACACACTGACCACATATAGATACACACAAGAACATACAGATACACACAGACTACATATAGATACACTGACACACACACACACAGATACAAACACTGACATACATGCAGATACAAAGGTACACACACTAACTACTTATAGATACACCGACACACACACTGACAGACAGACACACAGATACACAACCTGACACACATGCAGATATACAGATACAAACACTGACACATACAGATACACACTCAAATACAAATGGACAACATACAGATACAGAGACACATTCTGACAGACGTACCAACACAGACTCACACACAGAAAACCATACTGAAACACACAAAGACATACTGAACCACACAGACACTGATGGACTCACACACACAGACATACAGATACACTGACAGACATACTGGCACATATACACACAGACAGACGGACATACTGAAACACACATACACACAGACATTGACAGACATATTGACAAACACAGACATACAGAACCACACTGACAGACTCACACATAGACATACTCACAGACATACACACATTCTGGCACACACACACAGACAGACTGAAACACACATAGACACAGACACTGACAGATATACACACATACAGACATTTTGAAACTCACAGACAGCCATACTGAAACACACAGACACTGACAGACTCACAGACACAGACATACTGACACACAGGCAGACATACTGGCACACAGACAGACATACTGGCACACAGACAGACATACTGGCACACAGACACTGACAGACTCACAGACACAGACATACTGGCACACAGACAGACATACTGGCACACAGACAGACATACTGGCACACAGACACTGACAGACTCACAGACACAGACATTCTGGCACACAGACAGACATACTGGCACACAGACAGACAGACAGACATGCTGAAACAAACATACACACAGACAGACTCTCACACACACAGACATACATATTCACACACACACAGACACTCATGCAAAATTTGATAACCACCCTCCAGTTTCTTACCTGTTCCTTGAGGGTGGCTTCCCTGGGGTCCAGTGGGCTGGCTGGGGTGGCTGGGAGTTAAGCTCTCCCGGTCTGGCCCCCTCCGGAACAGCTGGTCCGCCTTCCTCCCGCGCGGCTCCTGTTTCTGTAGTAGGCTTATATATATTTATACCAAATGTTTAAAAAAATAAAATAAATAACGCGCGGCTGTCACTTCCTCCCAGTGCTGCACTGCTGCCGAAAAGCAAGGGCCCGGTCGCGCTGTTAAAGCGCCACAGCGCCCGACCGGGCCCCTGCTGACACAGGCCCACCGGGTGGCCCTAAGTGCATGGGCCACCCGATGGGCCCCCATAGTTTGCGGGCAGAGTGCAAACGGGGTAGTTACCTCGGGCCCCCCAGCAGGGACAGGGCCCAGGGCAGCTGCCCCGTTTGCCCCGCGTTAAAGACGGCCCTGAGTCTCTCTTTACTAGAACTCCACAGCAGCACAGAAAACAACCAATCAGAAAAAAGTTAGGTACTATAAAACTCCCCTCCCCATACATCATTTCCTCTTTCTTTGCTGCTCCGCAGTCAGTACAGGTCAGAGTACCACTGCCTCCTGTTATTTTTAGTTGGTGTCTGTATGATTTTAATTATATTTTCAGTGTTTCACTTATTTTATTATTTGGGGACTTGTTTGTGTGATTAACTTTATACCCCTCTGCCTATTGCTCTGGGGTTTGTGGGGAGTTTGTGTTTCTATGGTTTTCTATTCATCTCCCCTGGGGATTCTTTCCTCTCTCTGTCCCCTTAAATCTCCCTTCTATGCCTACCCCGTTTTTGGCTTTTCCGGTATTTTACCGCTCAGGGTTTCAGGAGGCCGGCCTGTTCTGCCTCCTCCGATCCCCCCGAGCTCCGGGACCGCGGAGTACGCCTCCAGCGGTCCCTTCTCTGCCCCACCTGTGGTTTCTTTTCCCTCCAGTCGCGGGTTGCTGTGTTAGCGCACGCCCGCCGACCGGAGCCTCTGCACGTGGCCGCTCTGTCAGAGGTACACTGGGACACCTGTACACCGGTACAGGCAGGCTTCCTCTCTAGGGAGCCGGGAAGTATTATCTCCCTTCAGTGAAAGATCTGTCATGCTTACACAATCAAATAAGTTTATGTCTGCAGTATTTTTTTAAGGTTGTAACTAAGGTTTTTAGAGAAGGTTGCTATGGGTTGGTTTTAAGTAATTATTATAAACTGTGTATATATACCGTAACCTATTTAAAAGGTCCCCCAGCCTTCATTTTATTTTTATTTTTCCAATATGATGCAGCCCTTAAATTTACCAATAGCATATTTATTTTGGGATGTGTTTTAGGATTGGTAATCACATGTTAACTGAGGTATTCATGCGGATACAGGTTAAAATGGCGCACTGTCATAGATTATGCACTTTAAGTCATATGCAGGAGCATTGTTCCCACTTCTTTCAAGTACCTCTCTGGTGTAAATGCATACTTCAGGATTACCCAGTTGCCAGCTTCCTACACTTGCACTTGGTTTTGATACCTGGTATGGGAAAATGACGGTATAAAGTAGAGATCCATAATAATAATTTTAAAAGAGATTCGCTGTGCATATATTATTCCTGCCTTCAGATTACTTATTAGTTTATTGGATTCTGCATGTGGTTATTCATTGGTGGAACAGTTGTAAGGTCCCACACAGTGTACTACACCATACTTCATACACTTGCTTCTAGTGGGAGTCTGTACCCCGCAGGCACCATAACTACTGTATCAGAGGCCTATATCCAGCCCATTATCGCAAGGTGCCCCAGGACCTATTATGACACGGATAAGGCACACTTCCTTAACAAGGATCCTTACCGCTAATTGATGCACCACTGCTAAGTGACTTGGCCTACTCCGTCTGCGCCATTTTTTCTGGCCTACTATGTCTGTGCCCCATTGACTGGCCTGCTATGTCTGTGCCCCATTAGAACGGCTTGCTATGTCTGTGCAAATTAGAACGGCTTGCTATGTCTGTGCCCATTAGTACGGCCTGCTAGGTCTGTGCCCCATTGATTGGCCTGCTAGGTCTGTGCCCCATTGATTGGCCTGCTAGGTCTGTGCCCCATTGATCGGCCTGCTATGTTCGTGCACTTCTGACTGGCCTGCTCTATCTGTGCCCTTTGTTAGGCCTGAGCTAGCTGGGCCCGAAACCCCCTTTTGGCTGCAGGCCTGGGAGGATATCACTGAGAAAAGCCCAGTACCCACTATGGACATGGAGATGGGTGGGTGTCCAGGCAACCACTGCTGCCTTACTATCCAAGAGGACACCAGTATACAGGCACCTCAATATGATTGGAAGGGTGAAGGCCAGGGTGGTGCCAGCGCTACCACGGGAGTAGCCTGGTTGGAGCCTGAGTTGGAGGGGGAGATCGACTGTCTCCCCTTTGGCTAAACAGCCCTGTTGCTGGGGGGCAGAACCGACCGTCCCTACCCCCTGTGCTGTAAGTGCAGAGACCACGGTCCCATCTGCATGGTTGTGGGGTTTACTGTCCCCCCCGGTACATTAAGCAGCCGCTGGGGAGAGGGGGTAACAAGCTCCTCTCCCATACATACTTCCAGCCGCGGGGGATGGAGACCGACTGTCTCTGCTCCCAATACAGAGTCCTGCTGCTGGGGAAAGGAGACTGGGCTCTCTATTCCCTGTAGGACACTCTGCCGCTGGGGAATGGAGCCTGGGCTCCCAATTCCCAATAAATCATTCTGCTGCTGGGGAATGGAGACTGGGCTCCCAATTCCCTGCTGTATCTCCCGCTGGGGAATGGAGACTGGGCTCCCAATTCCCTGTAATTCACACTGCCGCTGGGGATCTGAGCCGACTGCCCAGCATCCCTGTAGCTCACCCTGCCACTGGGGAGGGAGGACGCTGCTCTCCTCTCCCTGCAAGGTACACTGCCGCTGGGGGACAGGACCAACTGTCTCTGCCCCCTGTAACTCAGCCTGCCGCTGGGGAATGGAGACTGGGCTCCCTATTCCCTGCATATCACACTGCCGTTGGGGAATGGAGACTGGGCTCCCAATTCCCTGCATATCACACTGCCGCTGGGGAATGGAGACTGGGCTCCCAATTCCCTGCATATCACACTGCCACTGGGGAATGGAGACTGGGCTCCCAATTCCCTGCATATCACACTGCCGCTGGGGAACGGAGACTGGGCTCCCAATTCCCTGCAGTACCTGTTGCTGGAGTTCCTCCCAACGTGCCAGCTGACCTTCTCTTTCTGCCCGGCATTGCAGATTCTTGAACACCAGGTTCCTCATGGACTGCATGTCTTTCTCAGCTGGATTGGGTCCAAAGAACTTCAGCCGCAATTCCATCATATTATCGAACTCTCTCCTAGAGTAGCTGTACTCCACTGCTGGTTCCATCCTTGTGCTGTCAGGGTTGCTGTACTCAGACATGCGTTGCCCTACATTTGTAAATC